CGCCGCCGCTTTTGCCGCGCGCTGCCGCCCTCGTGTGTTGTCGCCGCTGCCCGTTGCCGCGCGCCGCCGCTGCACCACCTGCCGCACCACCGCGCCATCGACCGCCATTGCCGCCGCCGCATTTCTCGCCGGAGCCGCCGCCGTCGGGTTCTTGTCCCGAACTGGTACGAACCGGAGCCGGTTTTTTTTCATTTCGCATTTTTTTCGTAGATCTATTTTTCATCGGTTAGTTTATTTAGCGGGCGTTCATCCGTTCGTTCATTTTAACGAACAATGTTAGCCGGTTAGGTTCAGACAGCGAACATTCGTTTGTTAGTCGTTTCATTTTTTTATATTTTTGGCCAGGGACTTATCCACGATTATTTTTATCGCGATTTAGCCCCTAATCTTTAAACTAGTATAACTTTTTGCTCGCTTATCCAAATTAGATGAAATCAGCGCCTAAATCTTTGTCTCGAAGCCCTCTTTCCAGTTAATGAACTTGAACATGATTTTGGCACTGTAAAATTTGACTTTAATCCAGATTATTAAACGATCTTGTTTCGTTCATATTTGGAGTTTCGTTGCTCCGTTTGAGTTGAATCTTTTGGCAAATCATAGCTAGTCATATGTACCTACTGTTAAGATATAATTCACATGTTAATATTGCTGTTAGCTTTTGACTCTTGTTAGTTAAGCCATTTTGCTTGTTTCGTGTTTGACTTGGATCTTTCTCGGTTTTTGTCATGTTTCAATTGAGTGATTGCTTATGTATGCTATTGTTTATCTGCGCTAGATTACCCGGAGTGCGAAGCTTGTTAATATGAATCTATAGAGTTTGCAGATCATCAGCAAGGCAATTTACAATTTGATCATACTCTTTTATACCCATTTTTTACTATGCATTAGTCTGCCCCACAAATAATTGCATTGGTAGGATTAGAACATGTGGTTTTTGTTGTAGTACTTGAGGTAGGAACCTAATACCTTTTGATCACCCCGGGAATATACGTTATGCTTATTATTGCTTAGCCATGCTCGTAGACAGGGATTGGATCGTGATTCACACATGGAAGTTTAAGAGTTATTTTAGTTATGGATAACATTAAGGTGGCAACTTAAATACACATCTGGGTGGATTGAGGCACCTGGGGAACCCAGTGTTGCCTGTTTTTTTGGAAATCCCGGGGTTACCGTGTGATTATCCTATGGACCGCCACCCAGACTCAAAGGGATCATAAGATTATTCATGCTAGAAACTTCCGTGTGCAGCCACATGCCATTATGGGCTCTGGCATAGTTGAGTAAGTTGTGTGACCTCTTTCAGTGGTAGACTAGCAGATGTAGGGGATGTAGGTGGTACGGTCTACCCATCGAATGAGTTAATGCTTCTGAAAGACCGTGTCTCGGTCATCCGTTTCTTAAACATCATGTAGTGCGAGAAATTCAATGGAGGAGATCGAGTCTTGTGGGGAAAAGTGCGCAAACCTCTGCAGAGTGTATAAACTAATCATGGTTAGCCGTGTCCCCAGTTATGGACGTCTTGAGTATCTAGTACTTGAATCTATTGATGTGATCTCAACATGTTACTCTAATTAATTATGATGTTGGGTTAATGATGATACTTTTAATTGGGATTTGAGTTGGGGTTACCTTCTGAAATAATGGGCAACATGGGAGTAGTTAAATAAATATATTCCTTTGTTGTAGGGAAAAACTAGCTTTATGCAAAACTATGAAACTTACAGCCTCCACCAGCCAAGTATTGCATGTAGATATAGTTCTTGCATTATCATTGCTTTATAGTGTAACTATGCCAGCATATTCCATGTGCTGACCCATTTTTGGGCTGCAACGTCTTATGTTGCAAACTACTCAGACGACGAATAAGGTGCGATAGGTCGTTGTTTTGCACTCAGCTATGCCATTGGAGTTGATGGACTCATTTACCTTCAAAGCTTCCGTTGTTATCTAGTTTAGATGGCCTTTAGCCATGATTTATTATGTAATGATACTCTTTATGAGGACTCGATATAATAAGTGTGTGATTGAAACTCTGTTATAATTCCTCGAGTACTATGCATGTCAGCATTACCGATCCAGGGATGACACAGATGCAAAGAGACTTGACCGTTTGAGGTCTGGTCGCTACAATGATACAATCAATCATGGTGGAACTCAATGACGCTTGTTTATCCCCACCTTAAGTTTATTCTTCTTTGCTTTGAGGCCTTGTCTGGGCTTAAGATTAACTTTGCAAAAAGTGAGGTGATCGTCACTGGGGTGACGGAGGCTGAGGCATTATGTGTCTCTCAATTACTCAACTGCTCAATGGGATCCTTCCCTCTCAAATATCTCAGGTTCCCTATCTCGCGTGACAAACTTTCGGCTAAGGATTTTGCATCTACATTGGCTAAAGTTGGCAACCGTGTCATGCTGTGGAGGGACAAATATAATACTCAGGCTGGCAAGGTGGCCCTTATCAAGGCTTGTCTTTCCTCCCTCCCTATGTTTCTGATGGGGTTTTACCTTCTTACTAACGGCACTCATGCTGGGTTCGACAAGCACAGGGGTGCTTTTTTACTAGAATGCTGCTGATAACAAGCGCAAGTATAGATTGGATAAATGGGATCACATCTACTGACCTAAGAGCCTTGGGGGATGGGTATAATTAACACCTTGGTCATGAACAAGTGCTTGATCATTAAATGGTGGTGGAAGATCATGTCCATCTCAGATAACCCCCTCTGGTATAACATACTCAAGGCTAAATATTTTTCCTATGTCCAGTCCTATGTTTGCCCCGCCCGTAGGCGCGTCACCATTCTGGAAAGATCTTGTTAAACGGCGGCTGATGTTTCAAGGCCTTGCCAAGTTTGTGGTTCACAATGGTAGATCCACGAGGTTCTGGCTAGACTGGTGGTGTGGTACGGCCATGTTAGCCGTCTGTTTCCCAGTTCTTTTTTCTTATTGCCCGAATCCTGATATCTTGATCTCTGAGCTCTCTGACAATAATTGGGACCTAGAGCTGCGTCGATCCGTGTCTCGTGAAGAGTTGGTTGACTGGCAGCGTCTTATTGCCCTCTTCCCTGTGCTCTCAGAGGAGGAGGACTCGGTGTTCTGGCCCCACTATGCGTCTGGGCGTTTTTTCTGTGAAATTGGTATATGGCAAACTCATCTCTGGATCGACCACTACCAAATTTAAGTGGATCTGGAGGGCCCGCACCCCCCTAAGGTTAAGGTCTTTATGTGGCAAGCTTTCTGTGGGCGTCTTCTGGCACCAGATTCGCAAGCGTAACAGCCCGGGATCTGATCGATGTGCTTTATGTGGCCAGAGAGAGGACACAAATCACATTTTTTTTCAACTATGTCTTGGCTAAGCCCTTTGAGAACTTCGTCTTTTGGCTTCTAACCTGGTTGGGGCCGAGAGAAGAATGTTCTGGGTGGGTTTCGCAGCGATGTGCTGAACCCTTTGGACGACTAGGAACAAGTTTACCATTGAACACATTTTCCCTGCTAAACCCATTGATTGCTTATTTAAAACTTGCATATTCCTGCAGCAGTGGAGATTATTGACTAAGGAGGAGGATCGGGATGCTTTTGATGATATGTCTACCAGGATTCGGGATACAGCTACCTCCCTTCTTCGCTTCAAGCCAGCGGTTAGGAGTTGATGGCCCTACTATCGTCGTTTCTTAGTCTTCGGCCTGCGTGCCGTGTACTGGCTTAGGAGCCATGTACATTAACTTTTTGCGTGGTTAGGCGTTGATACTATGTGGGTGATTTGCCGTTTCGTTTAGCGTGGTTACGTTGTTGACTTTGCCTGATAGATATTTATAAAGTCGGACTTTGGCCTTTTATATAAAAACTTGGTTTTGGTTCCCCTCAAAAGCAAAAATAACTTTGGTTTTAGTCGCCCCCGCCCATTGCGCCCCGTCGAACAATACTGGCCAAGCTCCGCCACTGCCAATATTGGAAGCCTCAGGGGCAGTATGGTACTTTTGCAGCCCCTCGACCTCAACGGCTCGACGTGTCTCGTAAATCTCGCGGTACCGCTTTAAAACAGGCAGAACCAGAACAGACCTGAACGAGCCCGATCACCATTCCCCGCCCGCCTCCAGCCTCCAGCCTCCTGCGACCCGGATCGCCTTCCGTTCCTCCAGCCGAGGGATCCCCAACCCTAGCCCGGCAACCGTCCGCGCGGGATCAGCGCCGGCAGCGGCGATGGCGTCGTTCTCGGAGGCACCCCCGGGGAACCCCGCGGCCGGCGAGAAGATCTTCAAGACCAAGTGCGCCCAGTGCCACACCGTCGACAAGGGCGCCGGCCACAAGCAAGGTGAGCGCCCCGACCTGGCCCGATGACGTCGATCGCGCCTCGTTCTTGTAGCCCCGTATCGATCGTGGAGTCCCGTTTCGGGATTGGTTTTGCGGTTGGCGTCGGCGGTACGTGTTCTGCCCTGACGCGATGCCCTGTGTTTCGGGGGTTGTGGTTCAGCCTTGGACGGGAATCTGGGAGGGATGAATCACATCGATTGACCGTGAATCCTGCGCGTTCTTCGCGTTTGGATCCCGGTTGTTCGGCCGGCTGCCGTGCGGTTCGTGAAATTCGTTGGTTGATTCCGAGCGAGTGTTGGTTGATTTGTGAAATGGGTGAATCCGTCTGTCTGGGCTATGTTGTTGGATCGATCGGTGAATTGCCGGATGGTGTGCCTTTCTGTCAAACTCCCTCCGTTCCTAAATACTTGTCTTTCTAGAGATTTCAACAAGTGACTACATACGAATCAAAATGAGTGAATCTAGACTCTAAAATATGTCTATATACATCCGTATGTGGTAGTCCCTTTGAAATCTCAAAAAGACAAATATTTAGGAACCAAGGGAGTAGATGCTAATACGCATTAGATTCATGACCATGATGATTTTCCACCGATAGCAAGTGGTCTGAAAGAAACACTTGAAACGAACAATTCAAAAATACGCAATGTCTTACTGGTGTTAATCGTATGATTTAATAGAACACCTTTTGCAGTTATTCATGACACGGCACTGAATGTACGTGTGCTCAGTGTTATAATTCAGTGACTAGCCTTGCCGATAGATTGGCCTGTATTTATGTTTCTTTTTGACAAACAAGCAGGAGCACTGTCAATTCATTAAGGAGAAATAAGAGTGTTTGCAATTAAATACATGTATTCAATATTTATTTCTTTGTAGTCTTCTGTAGGCTTCCAGTTTTGTGTAATTTTCTGAGGAAACATCTCTAGTAATATCTGCAGGGTACATGCTAGTTTTGAACAGACGATACACAGTTGGAACTAAATTCGTTTGCCACGTGTCGCCTCTGTACAAAGCCAGATCTTGTTTAACCAAATGCCAAGTTAATGCCAGTCATGCTGATCTGCAGGGCCTAACCTGAATGGTCTGTTTGGGAGGCAGTCTGGCACGACTGCTGGATACTCTTACTCTACGGCCAACAAGAGCATGGCTGTGGTTTGGGAGGAGAAAACACTGTATGACTACCTGCTTAATCCGAAGAAGGTATGCTTAATGTCCACTTCCTTCTTTTTTCATTATCAGTGGGCTGTGGGTATGTGAGAGCTTCTGCCTTGTGCTGTGCACTTGTAGTCAGATACTTGGGCAGTGCTGTAGCATACCCTGTTAGAGAGTGATTTTTTTTGTGAGGAATTGTTGTGGGTCTAGTGTCTTGGAAGTTCTTTTGAGAGGATTGATTATACTTTCTTTGTAGAGCTAAATTGTTGATAATTGCTATTCTCGAGGTCATTCTACACTGACGACACATTTCTTCATTTTTTGCTCTTTTATTTTAATCTAGTCGCTCTTGAATTTACGTGATTATTTGATATTTCTGTTTAGCCGGGTTATAGTTATATACTTGTATGTACCTGGAAGTCCTTGTTCTCTGCGTAGAGATGCTCGTTTCTTTAGAACTGTCTATTACTTCCTATGATTCATTCTGTTCATATTAGCAGGGACAACGTTTATGCTTTTTTACTAAGAGCCAAAAATGCATTCTGTTAAGTAATGAACTGTATAAACTTGATTTGATCTCAGAGGATGCCATGCATCTTGTTGATAGTCCTACCCTTGCGGGTGGTGACTTTTAACCTTATTAGATTTTCTCAAGATAAGAACACTGGTAACTTTAATTCTCACTAGGCTTTTTTATGTAATGATTGGATTAATAAGCATGTCCTATTGAAATTTAAGATTTCTAATAGGAGCTTTACTTGGGGGAATAACCAGGATTCCCCGGTAGTACTTGCTACCATTGAAAGGATTTTTGCAACCCTGGATTGGGAGCAACATTTCCCTCTTAACACTACCTCTCGAACCTTACTCATTCATATGCTGGATATCTTCGCCATGTTTGTCTCTTGACTCGTAGAATGCGATTCGTTGGTTTTGTATGATCTCCTGATAAAATTCCAATTACTATTCTCTTATGTGCAGTACATCCCTGGAACTAAGATGGTGTTCCCTGGACTGAAGAAGCCCCAGGAGCGTGCTGATCTCATCGCATACCTGAAGAGTGCCACAGCTTGAAAGGGCTTTGCTTTGCAGCCACGGTCCTAAAACAGTTAATAAATATAGACATTGCCACGGTGTCGCTCTGGTTTGACGGGGTGTGTCGCCGAGACAGTTAAAGAGTTTGGTACTAGCATTTCTCCTTACAATGATTTGTTTTCTTCAGCAAAATGCGCTGCCATAATGGCCGTTTCCCAGGCCTTTTGTGAACCTGTTGTTGTTGTTGACGATGATCAGTTGTTTGGGCGGTAGATCTCAAGCATCTTGTGCGCCGCATACTATAAACTTATTTCTTCGGCATGGATTATTGTTTGAAGTTTGAACACGCATGCTAGCTCGTACTAGGAGCGCAGCAACTCAGACAATGAGATGCCACATGGTGGATGGGGTAAATTTAAGACCCTGCACAACTGGACAGTGCCTAGCTGCAGGGGCAGTGATGCGGTGTTGATGCGTTCCCTGGTCTGAAGTTTCCAATTCTGGTGTAAGATTCAGCGCCTAGCCCCCCCATCAGCCATGTGAGTGCAGAGTGCAGGGAAAGGAAACCAGCGCAATATTGCGACAGCTCACCATCGTCTTCCCCGGTGACATGGGCCAGAAACCAGAGCCATCATCATCATGGTCGCTACACATATATATTTTCCTTTTGACGCTGAGAGTTTAAGGCAGTCAGGACTAGTTGGCTCATAACAAGCACCTTGCATCTTCCATCTGCAGTTGTAGAATGAGGGCAATTCAGATAAATCTGCAAGTAACAGTAAATGAACTGCGTCAGGAACAAGCTATCAATAGCATGTTACCTTCGATATAGCGCAACCCTCTTTTTTCTCAAAGTACCGAGAAGCCTTCCAGCGTTTTAGCTTGTTATTATGGGAAGTGTTGCATGTTTTCTTCCTGTTTTCTGTTAACCTTTGATGCTACTTCATTCAGTCATTCTGCCTTGTCCTCTGCACATATCAAAATACCCTCATTCTGCAATTTCAAATTACCCTTATTCTGCATCACAGGGAAAATGATGCGCCATCAGTAAGCAGGTATGCATATTAAACATAGTTAATTTTTTGGCAGAGCAGGCCTTAAGACACATAAGCTTCACTTATGCCTTAAAATATTTCTCTAAAACATTTTCTGGGGAAGCATCAAGGCGTGAGTTAAGATCAGAAATCACAAGCAAAGCACTTGTCTGGCATGCAAAATGGGCATGGTGCCCTGCCAACTCAAAAGCCACGGCACATGAAAATTGCAAGCTCTCAAACAAAAGTCAAAACCTGAACCTGAAGTGAATAGTCCCATGTTGTTCTGTTCACAGTGAAACTTATCCTTCTGTTCCTTGAATTGTGTGTTGAATTTTGACCTATAACTGTGTGACATGGTATATACATGCTGTATGAGTGTAGTTCATTTTTCTTAAAAAAGATATTTTCAAGGCGCTTTGAGTGCTGAACTAAGGGTCTGGTACACCTCAAAGGTGGTAGTGTACCCCATATCCCTCCAGCCTCCAGGGCAGCCAGGGTTGGGCATTTACCAGCATCTTTAACCTGTTTCTTCTTCAGTTATTCTGGTTTGGCTCTGCGTAGAGAAAATGATGACCCCTAAACAGATACTTACGTATCAAATATAATTAATTTCTCGGCAAGCAGCCTTAGATCACAGAAAATATCCAGGTACGTACACCACGAAACATGCTCGGGGAAGAGTAGCTGTAGCCTGTAGGCGTCAAGACGCTCGCACGCATTGAAAGATGAGAAACCACCAAGCGCTTGGCCCGCACACAACCGAGCATGCATGCATAGAGCCATGTGAGCTCCAAAGGCTACAGCACACAGGCCGCGCAGCTTGACGCTCTTTCGGTGTTCGCTGCCAGTAAAGCGAAGCCCATCTTGTGTGTGTCCTGTGTGCCGCTCCTTGCTAAGAAGTGGCAAACGAGACGTACGTGATGGCTGTGTATGTGTTGGTGCTGCGCAGTTACATCGATCCCAGCGTTTTATTTACAAGAGATTCCTCGCCTCCTCCTCCCCTCCTCCCATCCCACTCCATCACAAGATTCGCAGCCTCCTCCTCCTCCCATCAGTGAGAGTGAGACTGAGACCAGCCAGTGGCCTCGCCCGTGTGCTCCATGGTGATTCTGCGCTCTCACAGGTAGGCGGTGCGGCGACCGGCCGGAAAAGGGAGCACCACCAGTTCGATCTGCTTACTTTGACGTTTTGACCATCTTCTTGGTTGTTCATCGGTGTAATTTTCCAAGCAGGGACACGGAGACGGTGGAGATGGCGCAGCAGCTGCGGGACAGCCCTGACCTGGCTGGTTTCGAGTTCTACAAGCTCATGGCTTCCGGAACGTCCTGGGAGAAGCTGGTGATTACTTGCACATGCTCTCCTAGCTAGCTAGTTCATTAAGCACGAGCGAGTTCGTCTCTCTCCCATCTCTCTGCTTACTGTTTCTTGCCGCCCGGCTGAACTGCAGCCGCTGCCTGACAAGTTCGTGAGGGAGCTCAACGGCCGTGCGCTCCGGGACGTGAAGCTGCGGGTCGAGGGCGGAGGGGCGCGCGCGTGGGACGTGGAGGTCGTCGCCAACGAGTACGGCCACATGCACCTCGGCAGGGGCTGGAAGGAGTTCGTCCGCGCCAACGGCATACAGCTGGGGCAGCTCCTCGTCTTCTGCTACGACGGCGCCGCCCTGCTCACCGTCACGGTGTTCGAGGACTCCGAGTGCGGGAGACACTGCTGCCAGCGCGAGGAGGAAGACGACAGCGCCGGTACGTTCCCTTCCCTTGTATCTTCCCTTGCAGTATATGTCCTGGAACTGACAGTGCGCGGTTGAGTTAAACAGAAGAGGACGAGTCTCCGCCACCGGCGTTGCCAGGGAGTGAAAGCAGCAGCAACGACGACGTCCATGGCGGCGGAGGCGGCGCCGCGCCGAGTCGGTTCACCGTGACGCTGGGGCAGTGTCACCTGGGCACCAAGAAGAAGCAGTACCTGGTGAGCCGTGGCTGTAAATTAACGTGCGCCCCTCATCGCATCTTTGGTTTGTAACAACTGTTTGCCGTGTCGTTTAAGCAGAACGTGCCTGTGGAGTTCAGCCAGTCGCACGGGTTCACGGAGAAGGGCAGGGTGGTGCTGCGGATGCGTGGGCAGCAGTGGAGCGTCTGCCTCAAGCACAGCAACCGGCGGAAGGGCAACGCCAGGACCCGCACGGCGCTGAGGTACGGGTGGAACCGGTTCCGCGTCGACAACGGCCTCCACGTCGGCGACATCTGCTTCTTCCAGCTGGTGCATGATGCCGGCGGCGACGACCCGGTGCTCAGCGTCGAGGTGCGCAAGGCGGACGGCACCATCGTCCAGTGACTACTGGTTCGTGTTAATTTGTGCCTTGATGTGATGGCAAATAAGCAAGGAATTGATGTATGATGAACCACGATCTGGTTGTTGGATGAATGAACTGCTTTTATTGTTTATTACTAGCTAGTATATATAATCTGCGATGAGCTGCTAACCATCAAGGAAAAAAAAGATCCGCTTGACCTAGGCAACCGACAAAGCGCCACCCAACTATGAACAGATGAACAAATCATGGGAGATGGGAGGGATCCAAACAATAGAAACGTTAGTTAATTATACAGGACTGAGGCTAACGGATCACCCAATCGATACACAAGAATACAGCTCGAACGTTTACTGCTACCAGCGACCAAAGTTCAGACGACCCAACTCTTGTTTCTCCGTCCGTGCCAAAAACCCTACACAGTTAATCAGAGTCCTATCTACACTCGCTCAATTGGCCTCCGAGGTTGCCGATGCTGGTGGCACATCTTGCTGCTCATCACAAGTTGCATGAGGCTGTGCATTTCCTCCCTGTGCCTGGTTGACAGCATCGCCTTCTGGAACTGAACGCATATATTCTGTTTAAGCAAATCCAGTGCTACCGTGAAGCGACCCCTATGAGCTACTACATGCTACCTGATGACCATGGAGAAACCTTATTATCGCTAACTGACAAAAACAAAAAGGTGCAATGCAAAAAAAAAATGCTGGAAGTAAGCAACTCATATACTCTGTTTAAGCAAATCCGGTTCTACCATGAAGCAACTCCTATGAGCTACTACATGCTACATGATGACCAGGGAGAACCTTATTATCGCTAATAATCATAAACTCGTTTGGCACCTTCGGGGCATGTAACATGCGATACTTATTGCAAATATTGTTTGTCATCCTGAAAAAAAAAATTACAAAATGCATGCTAATTTTTCATTTCCTCAGCTAAAACTATTGTGTCATATGCCAACTAAATGTAGGGAATAGAAATTTTAAGAAACTAGATGATACCCCGCGCGTTGCTGCGGGAACACATGATAACAAAAAGTTTAAACAAATGTGAGAGAAATAAAAGTGTTACTGTTTTCTTAACACAAAGTGTTATGTATTATTGTAAAAAGTGCGAGAACAGGAAATATATATAATAGAGATGTGATTCCTGCAAAAAAAAAACTTGGATAGAATGATAGAAGAGCTTCTAATACTAATTAAAATAGGCTGGTTTTTCGTATGCTATTTCATTTCAATATAAATCAAATGGATATCACCTTCTTTATCATCAATACTCTTCAACTGAAAAAAGTAGAAGAGCCATTCATCTCATACATCATCAATATTGATTTGGAAAAAAGTCTCCTGAGTTATCGGGTCTAAGCATACTGTGAAATAGGCTTTTGGTACCTGGCATGACCTAAAGTCCTGCAACAAAACCCTGCCCTGCATGTCTCTTAAGGCAGAACATATGAAAAAGCTACAAAACAATTGGTCAGGTTACCTGGAGGTTGACGTGCTGGTTGACCTGCAGGGGATGCGCCGGCGGAAGCTGCTGCTGCGTCGGCGGAGCGGCGCAGGTGTGAAGGTGTTGCCAGACCAGGGCAACGCTGGCGACGAACGACAGCGTCCCCAGCACGTAATCCCAATCCACGGCAATCGTCTCCTTCTTCTTCAGTGTGCGCAGCTCATCAGTGAGGGCAGTGCAGTTGT